GTCACTAATCATCATTATCAACGTCATTAGTCACAACATCATAGCCTAGATTGCCTTTGCTAGCTAGTTCTATCTGCAGCAGGCGCGTCGTCCCTCCCTCTCCCTTTGTGGCAAGGATTGTTCTTCTTCTTCTTGTTCTTCTTGTTCTTCTTGTTCTTCTTCTATCTTCGCCTACTGACCTTCTTCTAGCCAATTTTCTTGTTTGCTGCTTTATTACTTATTTATTGATCGTCGAGATAATCCAACACCACCATGAAGTAGCAGCAGCAGCAGAAGAAGAAGAGAAGAGGCAATTAATAGGGTCGGTCATAGCAAGAGGTGATGTTGATGAGCACGTTTATTATCAGCAATTATACCTCTATGATGATCGTGTTGTTTGCTTGTTGCTAAAGGAAGAAGTAGTCGTAAAGTGAATGTAAAGTAAGAATGGAAAAGTAAGGAAGAAGAAGAAGAATGGAGCAAAGAAAATGGAGCACGATGAGTGCGAAGGTCAGTCAGGGCAGACAGTTATTGTGGGATCCCCATCGTTCGTCTTCTAAAATCCGTCATTGACGCAACAAGAAGATGAACATCATGATGATATGATCCTCTTGCGTTCTCCTCTTTATACTACCGACCAAGCGCGGGTGGAACCTTAGACTCTTGTACAACAGTAATGATCCATTAATACTTTGATCCTTAACAGTGAGCACAAGGAATATAAAATTCTTTCCGAGTAAAACAAGTAGCAGCATATATGTGATCACAATATCAACTCTCTTCATTATTCATATGCGATGTTGAAAGACTAGTTGGCTGCTACCGCTACTGCTGGTATTTCATCATGATAGAGTCAATCATCATGTATGCTGGCTGCAGTGAAAAAGTCAAAGTCGTTTTCGATTTCCTTCGCTGTAAAACTCCGGTCCGCTTTCGCATTATTCTCATCGTCCTCCTCATTCAAGGTTGATGATCCGGCTGGAGTTGCTGTGGTATAGCGCTTTGGAGCAAACTTCGATCGTCCTCCTGCCGTTTGCTGTACGTCCTTGGAATTAATGAGTGGGATATCGTCCCAAGGAGTGTGTTCACCATTGATGTTTAAGAAGAGGATCATCTCAACAACGAAAGTGTCAAGGTTGTTTCTCCGTGGATTCAATAGCACACCAGCGATTCCAAAATCACGCTCAATACCCGCAGTTAAAGCAGAATTTCCAAAGGTATATCTAGCAACTGCAGCGAGGCGAGGAAATCTTCCCTGGTGTTTTATCCAGAACCCATCCAGTACATCCTGATGCTCAACGTCATGCGGCATCAGCAGTCCGGGGGTAAATCTCACAAAGCTTTCTATCTCCTCACCCACTAAAGTCTCCAAAGAACATCCGACTGAGGTATTGCCTACCACGAAAGCTCTTTTATCAAAGAGGCACTTAAAGAGGTTTGATGTTGAGGCCAAGCTCTTCCTGGGCGCTCGCACGTTGCTTGCTGATGATGATGAGCCTCCTGCGTTCTGAATACCAGCGAAAGTGTTCGTACCTCTGCCCCTCCGAAGGTCATCCTTTTGAGTGTTCCCTACCTCAAATCCTGCACCACCTGCGGCCGATAGCTTCGTGGCCGCTCTTATTACCATTGCTTTAATGTTGTCCCGGACAGTCTTTTTCACTGTCTCAAATAGCTTTGCCCGAGTCTTCCTTCGTAAAGGCTGTCAATTACTAACTAGAGAAAATTTAGCTCCGTCAGGTTGGGGATAAGAGCGCAAGCCATTTCGAAGACGTAAGAATGTGGCCGTTTGACTTTGTCTTTCTTCGTTGAAGTCTCGGGAAACAGCTCGGGATCGTAGCGGACAAAGAATCGATTCTTGAAGGCCTTTTCTATCAGCCTCCTGGTCTCACACACAGTCTCCTCCAGCATATGGTGCTCTGCAAAGAATGCGTCCTCCTTGCTCTCACCATTTTTGTTTCTTGATGGTCGGATGACTTGCAAAGGAGCTGCGGCTGACATAGTGTTCAGCTGGAGACCAACAAGACCAAGAAGAGCGAGCGCACCATTGGGCTTGCTGCAACCTTGATTTTCTTGCATCAGCGCCCCCACCGGGGCAATGAGGGAATAGAGTTGCCTCAACTCCTCCTTCAAAGACGACATCGGGCTGGAGAGGTTTAGCCTTTCATCGTAATACTTGTCTATCGAGAAACGCTTAATAACTTTGGGCGAGGCTTAAGAAACGATGAGTAGCATGGCTGATGACGTGTTCATCAACTCCTCCTGGAGCTCATAAAATCGCTGTTTCCCCTGTGGCGACTTGTTCAAGTGCTCGATGACACGACGCATCTTCTGCAGAGTCTCTCGACACTACGCATCTTCTGCAGAGTCTCTCGACACTCTATATTCCCCCCCTTGCTTGGGTCCAAGTTTGTCCCGTATGATTCTTGCAGAGCGCAGTTTGACAGATGATGCACACACCGTTCCCAAAAAGCTGCCGTTAAGAGCTATGATAGCAAGCGCCTTATATCACCCCCTCCGTCAGATGTAGACCCAGCAATATCCGAGGGCAAAGGCCGAACTCTGCGAGGCATCTACGACCCATGAATAAAGGACCTCTGATAACCGGGAGCTCTTGTATTCCACCGAGCCTGGACAGAAGCGCTTTATGGCGAGAATGGAAGTTCTCATACGCCATGGAGCATCCACGAAGATGCTTCGAATCCCGACATATTTGTCTTTAAAGGTCTTCGAGGTCCAGAGATCCACGTTCAAATGAAGTGGCAGCTAGCTTTGATTTTCCTTAGATCGTCCCTGAAGCCCTCTTTTGTAGCGTGATATACTCCAAGAATCAAATGGTGAAGTCTCTTGCGCGTGGGTTGATGGTTGCCAATAGGTGACTCACTGCATTAGGCAAAATGCTGAAACTTGTCATCCTCGCAGAAGCCCAAAGGTAGCAGCTTCGTTATGACCAGACGAGTCCATAGCATTTCGTGAAAGTGTTTCGGGTCATCCTTAACAAGAGCGGTGGCCTTCGCAGCATTGACCGCCTCTACCTTACGTCGCTTATTTTCCTCCGTCGTTTCCGTCTTACTTGAAAAGAGTCCATGTGCCGCTTTTAAGTGCTTCATAGCATTGGTTGATGAACTACCTTTGACCGATAGGCATTGCTTTGCCCGTCGGCATTGCTCGCTTGCCAGGCAATACCACTTGCCAACGC